AGCTTCAAATACAATTTCACAAGAATATATGCCTTGCATGTAGGTCATTCAGCTATCTCTTAGAGAGAGAAAGAAGTATGAAAATAAAGAAATCTCACATGTGACCAGATCCTTTCTTTTGATTATATGGATATAATTTTCAAGAACTTAACCCGATTAAAAGCTGCTGTGAAACCACAAAAATGTATGGAGAAAACTGGTTATGAACTGTTGAAAAGTTGATTTGTCAAAATTCCTTAAAAAGTATTGACTTTAAATGTATTCTATTTTAGGTACGCATGAGCCACAGATGGCCATGAATTTCAAAATTTGATGAGTCAATGGCCATTGCAGTGTACAAAACCAGTGGGGGGGGATACATTTGCATAAATATGTATCCATACAAATATAATCTATGCTTCGAGTGGCCTCACAGTGTCATCATATGCCTGTAGGGGAGGACACAAGGACAAATGCCACGCAGTTCTCACTATTCTCTCTTCAAGAAAAGCAAAGAAAAGCATTTTTACATTAAGTACTGGTCTTCTGAAAAATTCTCCTCTGATTTTTGTCTGTTATTTAGAACATAGGTGTGAAAGTTCATTGCAGAAAAACCACACCCTGTAATTCCTTCGTGAAGTGGTTAAGATCCATTCCTCGTTAGAAATGGGGTGAGGTACTGTTATGAATTCAGGTGATGCACATTATATTGTCAAATATCAAATGAGGGTGGTGAGACACTGTCCCAGGTTGCCCAGAGAAGCTGTGGCTGCCCCATCCCTGGAGGTGTTCAAGGCCAGGCTGGATGGGGCTTTGAGCAACCTGGTCTAGTGGGAGGTGTCCCTGCCCATGTCAGGGGGGTTGGAACTGGATGATCTTGAAGGTCCCTTCCAACCTAAACCATTCTATGATTCTATAAAATGCAAATTATTTTGGTTATCCTTCGTCACTGGAACAGTCTCACTTTCTTTACTTCTTCACTACCATCTCTCTGACTGACCCACAGCTATAGTGGAGATACACTGTGCTGCTGTTCTAAATATTTGGAGAATAATGTCTTCGGGAAGCAATTTGAGGACCCTATTGATTGCACACAGTTAATTTATTGCTAGGTAACTTTAAAGAATAATCTACGTAAGGACATTTGTAATAGAACAAAGTTAACCATTTGAACTATTTATTTTTTTTTTTTTAAAGCAATACCGGACAGTAAACATCTGCTGCCTTGTTTAACATTTTAACTAACTGGCTTTCAACTACCACACTCGCTCTAAGTTAACCTGAGATCTCTTGCCCTCTCCAAGATGAAGCTTGGGTTTTGTGTTTATGGTGACTACTCACTTTGCTGTTACCCATTCCTGTCCCCTCAGGGACAGAGCAGTAGGTAACAATTGTCTCTTACTAGCTTTTTAATAAACTCATAATGTTTCCAGAACTAGATAAAGAACATCCACTTCCTTGCAAACAAGGCTATGCCTTTAGCAACTCACATTTAAAGAAATATTGTTACAACGTTAATCCCTATGAGACATTTAGCCAGAAATTCGTATTCGTCAGCTAATTTCCAACTTACAGTCTCTGAGTCAGGTCTTCTCGGCAGTTTTTTTTTGTTTCAGGTTTTGGTTTGGTTGAATTTGGTTGGTTCAAGTTTCAACATCTGCAAATAAACTGTATCTAGTCCATGGTTTTTCTTTATACTGATTATCAGGTGGTAGCTAGGACTCTATCAGTCGCCTAATTAATAGCGATAATGAGGATATCTTTGTCTTCATGATTTTGTCTTCTTAAGGACAATCTTTTGAGAGCCTCGTCTGGTGATGCAGTTCGTACCTTGCAAGCTTCTCAAACGGCGCCTGAAAAAGCCTCAAAGGAAAAAATCCTGAGACAAATATACATATTTTACATCATGCAATAAAACTAAATACTTTGGGAATTTAACGAACAGGCAGGCAAAGATCTCTGATTGAGAATGTCTTTCCAATAGCCATATCCTTGTTATACTGTTGTGATACCAACCCTGCGAGTAGATTAGATCGAATCACCATACCGCTGCTGTAACATATAAAAGCTTGCCTTCTCAGGTAGACAAGATTTATTTTTTTTAATCAGAATATGATTAAAAAAACATTAACAATCTAATTAGTTTTTATATCTTTTAGTCTTTTCTTTGCAGCGTTTCAACTTTGCATTATAAGTAGTCCACATTGCAAACTGGTTTTACCTGTGGTGAACTCTAATTATCCTCAGATTGAGAGAGAATTTTCCAGTCAATTTTTCAAGTATGAGTAACTAGTGAAAAATTGTGCTTGAAATTTTCAGAGTTGAGACCATATTTTCTGGCATTTTTAAAAGCATCATTAACGTACAGGTTTGACAGCTAGATAGTTATGAAGCTGACCTGTTTCATTAACGAAATTCTTTGTAGTTATTTGATATTCCCAAGTGAAATCAGAGGTCACAAACTTGAGTGATATTTTTTAACAAAGTTACTATGCTGGCTGATGAAGACTAGCACCTGAAATGTGATTCCTCCCCAGTACGGGACGGATTTATGTCATCAGAAGCAGTAGCGTTTGGGGCTTTTTTTGGAGGTGAGACTCTTCCTCCCCATTGGGATGAACGCTAAACAATTTAATGTCAGTAAAGTATTTCAAGGAAAGCAGTGATTTCTCTCTGTAGTCCCTGTGTTTGTGTGTTTATGTACATACTTTGGATTCTGCTCCATCAATGGTGTTATGGTGAATTAAATTGCTACCATAAAGAGAAAGAGCAAATGAGTTTACTTTAACAAAGTATAAAGCATATAAATAAAAATTACATCTCTCATCTAAATATTTTACAAGTACAGAAGGCATTTGTAGTCTTCAGAGTAATGTGACAACCAGTTTTATTAATGGGTGATAATAATGTTGTCTTTTCAACATAGAGTTTATTTCTTTAGTTCCCAATGTGCATTTTTATACATTTTAGCGTGTGTGTAGAGGCAGAGTAGTAATGATTATATATAAATGCATACAGGTATTTAATAACTAAATAGTTATTACTATTACTACTAGACCCTGTTACACTTTTCTGATGAATCATGGAACCATAGAATCATAGAATGGTTTAGGTTGGAAAGGACCTTGAAGATCATCGAGTTCCAACCCCCCTGCCATGGGCAGGGACACCTCCCACCAGCCCAGGTTGCCCAAGGCCACGTCCAGCCTGGCCTTGGACACCTCCAGGGAAAGACACGGTTTTTATGTCAGTCCACATTGTATTAACAAATACAGTATATATTGTAATCATTGGAAACTTTAGACTATAACTTGGTGCTATGATTGTAAGAAGAAATAGATGTTTACTGTTTGTTAGACACAGCTGAGTCCAGATCCTGCAAGTGTATATGTTTGCCTACGTGTATATATATTACTTTAGCTGCACGAGAAATAATGACAGAGGGTCACTGTTTGCAGGACTGTGGTCACAACTGTGTCAGAGTACATAATCTATTAAGCATTTTGACTTCCTCATTAATTTTTATTACTGTGAAATATTTCTATTGCCTTCCTTTGTTGTTTTTTTTATATATATATATGTGTGTGTGTATATATACATATATATAGCCTTACTGGAATTTATAAGGAGCCCTGCAAAAAATCAAGAAGTACAGATTCTCTCATCATATCATGCTGCAATAAGATATTTGTATGAAACCAGTGATTTTTATCTTGTTAAAGAAAAAAGATGTCTTCTTTGAGAGATGGAGACTTTAGATATGTGAAGTTCTTGCCTGGTTTAGCTTTGAATTGGTTATTTGAATGAGTGTGATATAGTTGATTTTTGAAAATAGTAGATAACCATCCCCTGAGTAAAAACTTTTATCATATCTTATGAACTGCATGTTTTGACAGTGCATCAACCAGAATTTAACCAGTGCAGATGAAGGCATTCTTTTGTATGCTGAAGCATCAGAGTATGTCAAATCTGAATTGTTCTGAATCTTGACGAGGATGGTATTCAGGCAGAACTATTCAGAGTAAAATGAATTGAAGCAAAACATAGGAGTTAAAAAGTAAAGAAACTAACAAAACCCTGAATCCATAAGGAGGGCAAAAAGTTTCCTTTTCCTTTACCATAATAGGAGTGAGTATTTTTCCTTAATAGGGGTGAAAGTTTTATCTATCCCTAAGAATACGTATCATTAATACTTTGAGAACATGGATATATTTAATTTCACATATAATAGTATGACAAGCTATATTTGACATTTGTAATTGATGTAGTAGAGGAAGAGAGGGAATCTCCCTGGTTTTGTGCATGTTTGCAATCCTTCAATGTTTTCCTTCCTTTTTTGCTATCGTAGCCAGTTAACAATAAACACTGACAACTTCTGAATAATATGCTATATGTTGTTAATAATGTACAAAATGAACCCATTAATAATAATTAGGGGGGGAGTAGACTACATTAGGTTTGCATTTAGTATTGCTATCTGTGATTGCATTTACTACAATTCCATATAAACAAGACATTTTATGAATTAAGATTTTTTATGGACACAATTGTACCTTCTTGGAGAAAGATGGAATAGACTTTGCATGAAGAAACTTGTCTCAACCTGAGTAAGACTAAAGTAGAATGTTTTTTTAAAGGCAAGGTTCAGTTTTAGCTTTTGCAGAAACCATGCAGAAGTATGTCCTTCGTTTCATCACCTCTCTTCTCAAAAATTGTATCTCCTGAGCAAATAAATGCATGTTCTTTATTCCACGGCAGCAGCAGTGTGAAAGAGTCCAGCATAATGCACTGACGTATGAAACATTACAGTCACTGTATGCATGTGCTTTGCCTAAATATGCTATTTTTAACACTCCTTTTTACTAAACATAGGTACATAAACTGTGCTTTTAACTTGTAGCTGTTGCTGTCTGTATTTTTCTGCAAAGCAGGTTTTGTTTTAATTCTCACATATTCAATTGTGCCATTTTCAATTGAGTCCTTTGTTTTAAAGAGGATTGTTTTTCATTTTTATTTTACAGAGTTATATACATGGAAGCAGTCAGGCTCAGTTTGTTGCAGAATCGCATATTATTCTTCTGCTGAGTATCCTTCAAACTGGTGATGAATAGAAAAAAAGCAAGCTGAGACACAGTGTGCTGTTAAATAAAATTGCTCTGGCAGTGAATATCATTGAACTTTTGAGCAGGTATTGTATTTTGGCTTACTTACTAAATGTTTAAAAAAGTACTCAATGTGGTTGCTATTTACTGCCAAGTAAAGCTGGCATTGCTTTTCACTAATGTGCACCTTGTTATCTCCTCATTACTAATCTTAATGGTTTTCCTTTCAGTGTTATCTTTTCAGTAGCAGAAAATAATTTTCTTCTCTTTTTCACTCTTTATTATAAAAGCTAAAAATTTGATGTTAAAAAATTATTTTATTTCTTTTAACTGACAAGTAAAGCATACTGAAATTTTCTCATCATGCATGAAGGTGATTTGTCTTTGGTTTTGTTTTTTTTTTCCCCACCTAATCTACGCAGTTTACTACTTCTTCTTGAAACAAATAACCAGCCCCATTGGTTGTGACATTGCCTCCTCACAGAAAGACTCTGAGAACTACTTTTGCTCTTTCAATCTTACCGAGTCAGAGCAAGTTAAATTAACTTTGTTGGTGAATGTCTTCATAATCTGTAAGAAATCTCATATGCTGTCTGATTTCTTTAAACCATGCTTCTAATCAGCTTTGCTTATTGAGTGAACACTGTAGTCACCATTAACAGAATCCGAGAATCACAGAATGGTTAGGGTTGGAAGGGACCTAACCACTATTAAAATATATTCATTCCATCACAGATACCTTTCTCTAAGGATAACAAGGGGAAGAAAGTAACATTTCCTGATTTCAAGTAATGGCCAGATCTCAGAGTCTGATCATCATAGCTACACCCTTGTTCTCTCCCTGAGGTTATGTTGGCTTACATTGCGCCCTTCCTCTGGCTTCCCCACCTACCTTCATCTTTGGCATTTACTATCCAAAGAAAACACTATCTTTATATCTTCTTGCTTTATTACATTCATTTACCTGGCAACAATTTTGCTACCTGTGAAACCTTATTTGCTCCATAGATAGCCAATGCAAATTTAATTTCAAAGCTATGATCATATTTTGCAGATTAAATGCAGCCTTCCCTATCGAACTGGAATATGATGCCCAGTTCTTGGCCCCCCAGTACAGGAAAGATGCAGACTTACTTGAGCAAGTCCAGCAAAGGGCCACAAAGATGATGAAGGGATTGGAACATCTCTCACGTGAGGAAAGGCTGAGAGGGCCGGGACTGTTTAGCCAGGAGACGAGAAGGCTCAGGGGGATCTTATCAACGTGTATAGATACCTGAGGGGAGGAAATGAAGAAGGAGGAGACAGACTTTCTTAGTAGTGCCCTCTGACAGGACAAGAGGCAATGGGCTCAAACTGAAAAATGGGAAGTTCAGTCTGAAGACACTTCTTACTGTGAAGGTGGTCAAACTCTGGAACAGGTTGCCCAGAGGGGCTGTAGAGTCTCCATCTGTGAAGATATTCAAAACCCAACTGGACACAGTCCTGGCAACCTGCTCTAGCAGCTTGCTGGAGCAAAGGGGTTGGGTTAGATGATCTCAAGAAGTCCCTTCCAATCTCCACCATTCTGTGAATCTGTCAGTTCTCCAGGTTTTATATCATACCCTAATTAATGTGTCAAAATCACGTTGTATTCATTAAAGTTTTGGGAACACATTTATTTGTTCATTATTTCTAAATTTGGGCTCCTTTTCATGGGAAGAGTTTTCCGCTTTACCTGAAAACTGCCCAGTTAAAAGTCAGTGATTATTGCTCAGTGAAAATTGCTACATTTTTTAAAAGTACACAGAGACAGCTGTTATATTTCAGATTAAAAGTTTATTGTATACCAGATAGTATGCCTTTTATTAAGTATCATCTTCATGCTTTCTCTTATATAGCCACAATTTATTTTTTAGCGTTTTTTGCTTTCCCTGAACTGCCACAATTTAAACAAATCTGTTATCTAGAAAAAAATTCTGTTGGCTGCTTGAGAATGGGAAAAGTAAACACCAAACCCAGCTAAGATTAAAAATAAACAAAACTTTTGTTCATGACATATTTTGTTTGCCTGACTCAGGCTTGAAAGTGATATCTTTTTGTTGGCAGAGACTGTCTTTAAACTGAGAAGTTGGCTAACTACATTAAAGCAGCTGGCTGAAAGAATCCTTTCAGTGAGGTTGTTCATTGCCACTTGCAAAAAGAATTCTCCAAGGTTCCATTTCATGGCTCAATACTATTGAGCTGAGCTTTTGGTCACACACACGAATTTCATAAGTGACATGAAATCTTGACAGATTTTTAGAGTTATGCATGAAAGAATTAATATTTATCCTTTCAATGTTGGTCGTAATTATTAGCTGCTTCTTTGCTTCTTCATTATTTGTTTATTCAGGAAATGTTGATAGAAAATGTGGGAATTAGAAAAAAGTATGCCAGATTGATAAACAGTAGTACATTCACTTTATCCCTTAAAGTTTCAACGATGCATTGAATTTTAAAACAAGACATTACTATGCTGGGTACGTACATGCTTCATTTGGTTGCTTCTTTTCACTTTGTAGTAGTAAGAACAAGGACAAGGTTGTCACTTCTTGCTACATGTTGAAATGCAATGTTGTGTTTCTCTATAAAGTGAATTTTTAATACCTCTGAAGAGAAAATATGAATCTCCATTGCATTTCTATACTTACTTTTAGATATTCTAACCAATCTGCTGGATGATTTCCATATAAAGATCTGCTGTTTTTCCAGAGCTGTAGCTACACGATTAGGACATGGGTAAGAAGGACTTGTGAAGGTGTCAGATATTTTGTTTCAATTATATTATAAAGCAAAATCAAATTAATTAAAATCTATACAATGTTACTTATGACATACTGGGTGTATGCCCAAAAATTTTTATATTTTAAACAAGTAGTTTTAGTGCTAACAGATGGTTACTACATCTTAGTACTAACATAACAGAAGTCACTGCAATACAGCACGTACAATATTACATCAGTAAAACAATTATAAAAACAACAAAAAAGGCATTTTGATTATTTTTGTACTTAATTTTATTTCTATGATATGTTTTCTACCAGCCAGAATACTGATATTGTAATTGGCAGCAGCTTAGACTAGCTGAAATGGGTTAGATTTAACACATTCCAAAGACATGAAAAGCTCATACATAGCAAGTTCCTCAGAACAAGGAGGCATTATTTAATTTCCAAAGTCCCAAACCAGATTCTGCTTCCTTCTGAGGCTCCTTAGAGTTGGTTGATGGGAGCCATCTTACTGAGTCCATAGTACCTGATACCATGGGTAAAATTTCCTTTTAGAAATTGAAGAAAAAAAATCACCATATTCTGACATAGACCTTGTTGAATTCCGGGCTGCAGAATAGTGAATAAAAATGTGAGAGGCTTTTAAAAACGGAGAAACAGTCCTTCGTGTCAGAAGTAGCCCACATCACTCCGATATACCTTTTGCCTTATGAAACGAGGCTTTCTAGATCTTTCAGACTCACTTGTCCAAGCTGGTTCTAGGCTGCAGTGTTTGAGAGGAAACGGTCATGTGGTCCAGAGCATGTGGAGAAATCAGCCTGGCTGAAGAGAGAGGCAACTCCAGTCAAACTCCAGCACAGCATGCCATCACTGCCTTTGTTCTTGTTCCAGGAGCTTTTTAGTCCACAACAGTTTAGTTGCACCCTGCCAAGGCAGAGATCTCATCTATCTAAACTGGAATATATCCAAATCCACAGAGCTGGCTTGTCATCCCAATGCAATTTTCCTGTTAGTAGGAATGCAGTACCAAGTACCTGGTTGCCCATGCTCAAGCTGATCCAGAGTTCATAAGCTTTGCTGCACACACACTGATGCCAGCTCAGTCACTCGGATGGCACTCAGGAACAGGCTGTTATCTCAGGTATGGAGCAAATACGTAGAGCTGACGTCCAAAACTCTGTCTGAGCTAGTAAAAGTCTTCGTGGGTAAGCACCCAGCAGAGAACAGTGAAAGAACATGCGTGGGTATGATGGTGCTTCTTATATTATACACTTCTGTGACTTTCAGGCTATTACTACTCAGAAACTCTGAGGGGTTTATGTTGTGCTGACAATATGACTGCTACTCAGTTTTGTTCTTATTTGGTTCCCCTTTCTCTTGTCTTGGAGACTAAACTTCGAGAAATAATCATGGAAATCATATAAGTGTTAGTTGAAAGGGACCTCTGAAGATCACATACTCCAGTCTCCCTCTTGACCAGGATTATCACCAACACTGGATCTGGACTTCCATGTCTTTGTCTCGTGCAAGTGTTTAGAAACTCCATAGATGGGGATTGCATCATCTCTGTGGGCACTTAGAGAAGTGAAATCGTTCGTAGCGTCCAGTCTGAACCTCCCAAGCTTCAATTCATGGCTCGTGCTGTTGTGTATAACAGTCTTGTCTGTCATAAGGTTTTGGCTTCCCTTTGGATTTTTTCCAGCCTTGTAGAATTAGTCGAGTCTTCAGTGATGTTTTAATTCAAAAACAAACAGAACATTCTATGGGGTAGAATAATGAGGTCCATTATGTTTTAGCTTTTTTATTGCTTATGAAAAAAACAAAAGGTGAGGTTTGCTTTTATTCATGCTACTTGACAGCTCATTCCTAGCCATAGATTGGCAGGTATAAATATTTCTTTGGCACAGAGTGTTTTAATATTTATTTCCAGAGAAAAAGTAATAGTGAATAACAGCTAGGTACAAATTTAATTTGAGGTTGCATTTAATCATCCATAAAAATATGCTGGTCTTTTAAATATCTGCTTTCAGTTTTCTTTGAAATTGACCAACTTTGATTTTCTTCCCAGGAGCGACAGAACCTTGTTATCATTTGCAATTGAGAAGGAAGTTTTATGTAATATATAACTGTATTTATCCCCACATCAGTCTAATGATCACTGCTTCAAGCAACTGGGTGGAATTTACACACATAATAATTTGGAGGTTATGCTCAATATTGGGACTGTCCTGTGAAG